CCAATGGCAACATCAGCTGCAAAGTGTCAGCTGTCCATTAGTGGCACTTCAAATAAGAATAAAAAAAGAGATTTCTGAAATTATTCGAGACTCCTAGGCTAACATTCCAGCCATCTGGTGTTCTCTGCCCATTTCAAATATAGTAGTGTCTTAACAGAACGCAAACACATTAGATGAATAACGTAAAACCCTCCACTGTATTATTGTTTGGATTTAGCTGGTATTATATCATCTAGAGTCCTAACATTTTTTTTGTTTGTTTTTATTTTTTTAAAAGAAAATCTAAGTATAAACATTAAAAAGAACCCACTGACCCAGTAGCTACTGTCCAAAAATATTACTACTAATATTTTGGTAAAGCAAAATTAGCTGCCCTGAATAAATTTTCCTTTTCAGGCATAATCTCTGCTACATAAGATTGTCTGTCATTCAATATCCAACAATAGGCATATGGATTAGTGCTATTTTGTCTACTGTGGATATAAAAGTTGATATGAAACGTGATCTTCATTGAAATGAATAATCACCAGGCCTTAGGTATCAATGACTGCATACAAAAAAAACTGAATATTTTTTTGTTTGTTTTGCAGGTTAACCCAGTCAAATCAAATCCAGAACAGAATTACTACATTCAATTGTCTGATAAACAAGCATTGCAATTTCAAAAATATATATATATTATACTATATAAGGTGCTTCTTAAACAAAAACAACAACAAAAAATATGTTCTAAACATATTCTTAATGAAGATACATAAAATTGCCCCCAAATTTAGATTTTAGATGCACATATATGAAACATCCCCCCCTTTTATTTATTTATTTGTTTATTTTTGGCCCTCCCTGTTTCCCAGTCTTTGGCCATCACTTACTGGGCAATTAGAAATAAGGGAAATCCTCTTTCCTGAATGGACATCCCGGGAGAAGCCCTAGAAGCTTGGCTGGGTCGTTGGCTGACACGTCACCTCTCGATGGGGTTCAAATTATAGACAATGAGGTCACTGGAGGAAACCAAACTTTCTTTTTGGCTGAGAAGAGGAAACCTATAATTGCTCTAGAGAAGAAAAGGCCCTAGAGAAGGCTGCCCTGTGGCTGGAGAGAGACTTCCTTTTTTTTTAGCCTATAGATCAATGGATTCCTGTGGCTCACGTCTAGTCCCGTTCTCCTGGGTTATAGAGTTGAATGAAATAAGTTCTGAGAGAAGCTCTTTTTCTCCCCTCAAGGCCAAACCCTTATTTTTAGATGAACGACCTCTAAACAAGGTGTGTGTAGTCTGACCCGGCCCCAGGACCCTGAGGAGGGCTTGCCCCTCTCCTTGACCTCCTCCCTGGCTCCAGAGTGAGCTCGGCCACCTGTAGGAACGCAGCTGTCCGCCACCGCTGTTTGCAGTCAGGGCCACGTGGGGAAATTAAGAGCAGAAGCGCCGCCCGGGATCCTGGGGCTGGATCAGATCGG